GCATGCATCAGGATAAATAGATAATAGATCCCAGCATGCATCAGGATAAATAGATAATAGATCCCAGCATGCAGGTTGATTTAGTTTCATGTTTTTCAAAAAGTTTATCCTGATCAGTTCAGCTTTTTGGTATGCTGTCTATTAAATATTGGTTTAACATGGGTTGTATGATGACACCAATATTTATTTGTGTGATGCTCATCAATGCTTACCTGATCCAGTCAGACTTTTGCACATTTTTGTACTTGTGTAATATTGGCATATTATGGAGAGCCAACAAGTTTTCCTGCATTTGCATCATGTCAGTAATTGATTCGTTTTGACATTCACAGCACAATTTTGACTTTGTTCAAATATATGAAAGTCACAGGGAGGAATTTCCATGACAGCTTGAAGTCCCTGCATGAAGAGCTCATACTGAATGTCCATTTAAAGGAAGAAATTCAAAGATCACATAAGAAAAACATTAGAGTTGACATGTCCCGCTGAGATTGTACTTATGAGGATGTGTGCTTTATGAGGCAAATGGCCCCGCTGTTCCCATTTAATATACAGCATATGTCCTCGGCATTCTTATGAAATGGCCTTTTAAAAGTAATCTGGATGGGATCTTTTATCTTAAATTTCCAAGAATCAACAAGCTGTGGAGCCTACATCTTTTACTCCTGACAAAACTTCTTCCACCACAGCATCAGTCTTCACAAGGTCACAAACTCCATTATTCTGTCCAGAACTTTGTTCCAACAAATTTCAAAATCAGATCAAATATCTATTATTTTTTCCTCTCATCCAGTCTACAGTTTAGAATCGCCCAGAAATAACCTCAAATGAATATGTATTGATAAATACAAACTTTACACACCTCAAAGAGATTGATGTGCTTTATTTTCTGTAAATACCACAACTGAGAATAAAGAGAGCAAAGTTTGCCAATTGAAAAATAATTGTCCCAACATGACATAAAGCTACAATGACAACATGTGCCATATCTTATGGAGATATTTTCCAACACATAGTCTTTAAACTCTGTGGTTACAGTTCAAGAATAGACTGAAGTTTAAAGCAGGCGAGCTCTTTGCTGCACTGCAATAAAGATCAATACAGAATTTAAACTGCAAAGTAGACTTACTTAGCTTGTGGCAGCTGTATATTTGTTTTTGGGACTTTTTAAACAGTTAACTTTCACATAAATATTATTTTTAGTGCTTTTTATGGACTCACTGTTAATTCCTTCCTTTCATCTCGTATAGATGGTACTGTTTTGATTATTTTATTAGTGACTAACCACGACTCTGTCTGAGCACTGGGAACCTTTCACATGCTGGAAGCTTGAGTGAAAAGGCAACTTCAAATTTTATTGAGAAAAATATATAAGTTTTCATAAAAAATCACACAAAGTATTTACGCAGAATCTTTGAGAACAATATTTTCTTTAATATTGCTGCTACGCTTTCCTGTGTTTTCCTCAATACTCATATCATAATGTGATACATACAGTCACTCATTCGTGTAAGATAATATGATAAGAAAAATCCTGAGTTGAGCATTGATGTTTGTATTTGGAAGCAAAATAGTTGTTTTTAAAAGACCAATTCTAAAGCAACAGTGTTAAATTAGATAACATAATTATGGTTTAATATTTGAAGTTATTCAGCACACTCAATAAGTTTTTAATAATGTATGCAGTAAATAAAAACACTTGAACAGTAATGAACCTCGGAACAACTTTCACTCACCTAAATGCTGGCTGCAGATCCACAGCAGGAGGAGCCGGTAGTACTCCATATGTTTACTGCTGGAAGCGTACATGTTTTCGAGTAATGACTGCTGTGAGGGTGTGTAGAAGCCCAGCGGCAGGCACAGTTAAAGATCCTTCTCTGATTGACTTCAGCAAAAGCACTGCCTATATGTGATGAAGAAGGAGGGGACTGAGGGAGAAGGAGGAGGTCCACACTTTCGCAGCAGGCAGGGATACTTAATCTGTACTTCAAGGAAATATTCGGTTCAGCTGGACTTGCTGGAAGCACAAAATGAACCAATCTTTAGGCATTTTTTCTGAACTGGCCTTTTCAGTTGAAGTTGTTTTTTTTTTTATACAGTGATGTAGATTTGAAGAAAATAAAACCTTGACAATGATGTGAAGGGGGAAAACATATTCCTTTTCAATAAACTCACAAACCAAATTTTGTGAATTGGGTTAATAAAGCAAATGTTTACTTAGTTGTTACAGCAAATACTACAACATGATAGAGAAATGTCTAAAAGATAAAGAATATGCAAGACTTCTTTTTGTTCCTCGTCAAGGTGCGAAGAGGAGGAATTGAAAATACCGTCCATCCATATGTGCAAGTGGCGAGCATGATATCATGAAAAATAAGTGAGATATCAACTTCCATTTTGGTGTGTGGGTGCATCGAGGTGAACAAAAATTCCATTTGAAAAATGGGTGGCCATGTCAACAGCTAAGATAGCTGTGTCCATATGTGTGTATGTATAGTAACACTGTGAACAGAACAGGTTGAAAAGTAAAAACACACCAACTTCCCTTTTGGTGTGAAGATGCATCGAGACTCATCGTTGCCACATCAAAATCCAAGATGGATGCCGCCATATTTGTATATCAACCAGCCACCTCAATTATTTAGAAAAACAGTGCTTTCTAGTTGTATGTATATATATATATATATATAGCTTAAAGGTATAGTTTCTACAAATAATTGGGTAGGCCAAAGATTAATCTATAGGGGCCATAGCACTATTGGCCACCCCCTGGCTTCACCATTGTGGTGGATACAATTGCTACGTCCCCCCACCAGGATCCATCACACTGTGCTGCCTCGGACAAGCATGAAAAATCCGTCCAGCCATCCATCCATCACCTTATGTTTGTGTCTTAGTCAGGTTACAGGGGCAGCTGCTTAAGAAGGGAGGCCCAGACATCACTTTCCACAGCCACCTCTTCCAGCTCTTCTGGAAGGATTCCAAGGCATTCCCAAACCAGCTGAGAGACATAGTCTCTCCAGCATATCCTGGGTCTTCAACAAGGTCTCCTAGTCAACATGCCCAGAGCATCTCACTAGGGAGGCACCCAGGTGGAAACTATTCCAAGTCTATCCCAGAAAATATCCTGATGCATGCTCTATCCCAGAAAACTGAATTTCTCTCCCTATCTCTAAGGGAGAGTCCAGCCACTCTGCTGAGAAATCACATTTCAACTGCCTGTATCCACAGTCTTGTTTTTTCGGCCACTACCATGACCATAGGTCACTGGTAAGAGAGAGCTTCTCCTTACAGCTCAGGTCCCTCTTCACCATAATGGACTGGCACAGAGTCTGCAATACTGTGGAAGCTGTATTGATCCATCTGGCAATCTCACGCTCCACTCTTCCTTCACACATGAACAAAATCCTGACTTACTTGAACTCCTCCACTTGGAAGCAGTACCCCACTCCCAACCTGGAGAGGGCAATCCACCCTTTTCTGATGAAGGACCATGGCCTCAGATTTGGAGATGCTGATCCTCATCCCGGTTGCTTCCACTCAGCTGCAAACTCCTCCAGTGAGAGCTGAAGATCACGGCACAATGACGCCAACAGGACCACATTATCTGCAAAGAGCAGAGATGGAATCCTGAGGTCACCGAACTTCATCCGCCCCCTGGCTGCACCAAGAAATTCTGTTTATAAAAGTTGTGAACAGAATCAGTGACAACGGGCAGCCCTATCAGAGTCCAACACCCACCCTGAAGGGGTCCGACTTACAGCTGGCATTGCAAACCAAATTCTTGCACCGCTTGTATAGAGACTAAATAACCCTTAGTGACTGACCCCCAATCCCATTCTCCCATACTCAGTCTTTATCACTGCCACTACCAGTGTTGTCTACTGTCATTTTTGTTAGTGCCGCCATTTTCAAACCATGCACTGTAGCAGGTCTGCTCTAAGTGTCAGTCCAAAGTGTTGATAAATATGAAGAGTTGTGTCAGGAAAAGCATCCAGCATAAAACCTTTTCTAAATCAAATATGCAGATCATCACAATCAGCAAGAAAGAGATTTCCATGAAGATCAGGTCAGGGTCTAGTTAACAATGACAACGTCAGCATGACTGTGGTTAGATGTGCAGTAGGCATGATATAAAGTGACGCTTTCTTGCTTTCAGTGGTGATGGACAGGTTGAAAGATGAGATCAGACAAACGTTCCCATGTTTCCAAAAGGCATTGTGACACGTAATGAGAGTAAAGTCAGGTGGAAAAGAATCTGGAGAGATGAAGGTTTTCTCTCCATTGCAATGAAAGTCAGTAGAAGCTAAATAAAATCCATGTGTGTGAATAAGAGGGAGACAGATGTAATAGTGAAGCTGCAAGGAGTTGAGGTATTAAAGGTGGATGAGTTTAAGTGCCGGGGGTCAACCTTCCAAAGCAACAAACAGTACATATGAGAAGAGAAGAGTGCAGACAAAGTGGAATGAAACATAGGCAAGCTATTAGAGTCAATGCCAAGGTTACCAGGACAACAAATCCAAAACGACACAGCAGATCAGTGGCACAGCAAATTACTTTTCCCATTACAAACCCTGCTATGCACGAATATATTTTAATCATGGCACAAACACAAACCTTCCAGTATATTAAAAGTGAAACACAAATGTGGAGTTTGAAATTTATCTCGCAGGTCCAGGACGGAGGCCATCAGGTTTTCTCTAGGAAGAAAGACAAAAAGGAACAATTACATGTTAGGAAATAATAATTACAAACACAAAGTATTCATTTGTTTGTATTTGTAGCTGTTCGTTTGATGAAATGAGGTCAGTTTGTCCTCCTGTAGTCTAAGGTTATAGCAGCATGGGATAAGGAATAGGTCAGGAAACCAAGCCATCTAACTAAAGGATTTTTTTTAAAGGAAAGTCTTAAGCCCAGTATCAAAACTGGACAGTGTCAGCCTCATGGACAGAAACTGGTAGTTGGTTCCACAAGAGAGGAGCCTGATAACTGAAAGATCTTCATCCCATTCTGCTTCTGGAAACTCTAGAAACTGCAAGTAAACATGCAGTCTGAGAGTGAAGTGCTCTGTTAGAAAATATGAAACAATGAGATCTGTAATATAAGATGGAGCTAGGTTATTGAGGGCTTTGTAGGTTGGAAGTAAGATTTTAAATTCTATTCTGGACTTGACAGGGAGCCAAAGGAGAGAAGTAGAAGGAAACTCCACACAGAAAGGCTCCAGGATGAACTTTGATGCTGTGACCTTCTCGCTAAAAGGAAACAGCTCTAACCACTGCATCACTGTTCCATCTAAAACAGCATGATTAATTAATTTATTGCACAAAAGATACTTGAAAATTGCCCTATAACAAGGTAACAGTACAGTATGTACTGTCTCCCAACCATTTTAAACCATCTTATCACCAGCAAACTGGTTAGTCCACTGTAGGAGTGTACTGCTTAGTGGGGAAAACAGTTTGTTTCTGACTTCTCAGACTGATGAAGTCCTCCGGATTGAAGGGTGAAACATCACTCAACAACAACAACAACAAAAAAAGAAACTGTCCAGATGACCTGACTGAACATTGTTGGATTTTTTACCTGGATTATTGAGCATAAACCTTGAAGTACAGTATGTAGTCAAGCTTTTTAACCAGTTAAAAGGCCATGCATCACATTCCGTTTGAAAAATAATGAAACCAGTTAGAAGTTTAGCTATTATTAAGCAAAATTAATGAAGGATTTGGGGATTAAGAAAACTGAAATGCTGCAATATACAAATGAATAATATAACAAAATTGCTCTATTTCACATACCTTTTGTTTTTCTAAGAAATGTCAAACCGAGCTTGTAATCAAAAGCTCTTTATTTTACTTAACAAAGCAACCACAGATTGTAAAAATCACATCAGTGTGTGTTGTGTGTGTGTGTGTGTGTGCGCTGATACTACTTAAGATAATTAGGACTAAAAAAAAACACAAGACTTGCTTTCATTAAGGGTTCTTAAAACCTCATTGGATTTATTCATCCTTGATCATTTCTTCTCAGTTGACTGGAGACCCCCCTTTCATTTCCCCTTCAAGTCAGGAAATTAGGTTTGGGGTCTACCGTGGAACTGCCTGTGTGCATTATGTGTCCACACAGAACTTCTGATATACATCTTGAAATGACTGCTTATCAGTGAGTGAAAAAAGTAAAGTTCAGTGGTCTGATACAGTACCCATTTGTGAACTTGAAGGCAGAGCTTTCCCTACGTCCCAAAACAAAATACTAAAAAGTGCTTTTTGTTGCTTGAAAGGAAAAGGATGCATTATAGAGCATCATAAGCACATTTCCTGAGGAGAATAACAAGACAATATACGAAAGAAACAGAAAGGCAAGGTTCCTTTTCTTTTAAATAATATGAACATGAAAACATTATCTGAAATTAAGCGGAAAATCAAGGTTTTGCAGCAGTTTGGTAGTCATCACAACGAAAAATGGACTATAAACATGAAAACTCAAAAGAATTGTTTCATTCTGTGCTGTGTGGGTATACTCTCATTGCTCAAGAATCTCCCACTGTCATTCTGAAAGACGAATGACAGATCTGAGAGGAACCTGCAATTATGAATAAGGCCTGGTGCTCTGAATGGAGGCGGTGTGCCAGGGCTGGTTATGGAGATGGACTCATTTTTCTAATGTTTCAAAACCAAAAGGGAGGTGAACAGTTTTCTCCATTGCTTTGCTGTTGACCAAAATTACCCTGCAGTTATTTCATTCACTGTCTGTATACAAAAACTAGAGTTTAGAGCACAGGGGTAAACTATGGAGTGTAAATGATTTGG